ACTTACGACGTATTTATTATAGACATTTAAACTGTGGGGTCACCAAAGGGTCTCAACGCCTAAATAAAATAATTCGAAAAACTAATCAGGAATAACCTTTGTGTTTTGATTTATATTGAATACTTAAACGTTCTTTACTTGTGTTTTCGTTATGTTTTGATAATCAATTTTTATGATATCGCACGTTCTTTCAGCAAAAAAAAAAAGGATTTAACTGGCTTTAAAAGTTACAATGCATGTGTTGATTATTATCTTTTTTTTCGGACGTCAAAGCGATTTAACAATTGCGGTTGTCCAATTATGTCATCTTTTAACTTTTATCTGGTCAAAATTTTATTTTAGAACGAATGCATGATCAACTTTAAAAAGTGTGCGTACACAAAACATATAGACAAAATATACTTCTGTCCTGTCTTTTTCGTACTTGCAAGTTATTAGACAATAAAAAGGCTATTTGGATCAAGCCTTGTGGAATTTGCATTTACGTTTTTGAATAGGTAAAATGTATAGTTTGGTGAACTTTTCTGCTAACTACTATACTTGTGAAAAACCCTTGGCAACAGAAACATATTCAGTTTTTTTTTAATCGACCCAATTTATATAGTAATGGACGACTTCGTACTTTTATGATCTCAAATAAAATATGTATATAATATACTGTGCACTGTAGTTCGTATATATACTGAGACCCTTTGGCAACCCCACAGTTTAAATGTTTATAATAAATACGTCGTGAGTTGTGGGCGTTACAGACGAACGTTCACCTAATCTGACCCAGTCAATGGGATATTTTAGCGCGCCAATCAATGGTCTCGTCTACACTGTTTTGCACATGATTCTACCGTTTCGATTCCTTACATCACTGAAGAGACATTAATTGTCGAAATCCGGATATGGTGTACAAATTTTTGCACCTCATGTTTGCGGTATCCCATCTTTTCCGCAAATTTATTGTTTTCTGCTTGGAAATAAATCAATAATAAGATCCATTTTGTTACATCTGGTGATCCGTTTATTTGGCAATCGCCAATGGCAGTCAGCAGGGTTTAATAACATCAGTTGTTCGACCTGCTAGTCAAATGCGTTTTGTTAAAATATACTTTTTCATTTTTTTGGTCTTTTGGAAAATGTTGTTTGTGCTGTATTTAGACCCCTCTACCAAGAAATTTGTTTTGCATGCACACGTTTAAAAATTGCGGTTTTTATCCAACTCAATCATAGGTTTGAACGATGTTTTCAATTTAGATTTGTTTATATATATATATATATACTAAAATTCGCCTATAACTATATATCCAATTGATAAATATTATTTACGTGAATATCATCGGATTATAATTTATTCTTACATGTTCTATCAGTAACTGTTGTTCATAACACTTTTTCAATTGCAATTAAAAAAAGATCACTAAGCACATGAACAATGCATACGGAAAAGCTGTCTGCGAATTATTATAAGGGAAGACTATATAATTCAATAGCAGTACATGTATATTATTGAGATATGGACGAAATAAAAGATTTTCTTTCATGATAAAGAATATGTATGACCTTCTTTGCGTTTTAAATACATGTTTTCATTTTTTGTTTAATTTGAAGACTTTAAGCTCTTTGTTTAAGAAGAAATATGTTTATGTATGCATTTACGGTAAAAAGTATGCTTATTCACAAAAAAAAAATCAATATTTGAACTTTTCCGTAAACTTTTATTTTTCCCGCGTTTTCCGCAAACACTTTCTTGTAGTAAGCCTACACTATGACGTTTGGGTATTGTAACGTCATAATACAGAACCAGTTTGGATGGAAAAACATGCCTTGGCACTGAACGTATATTTTTACGATTTCGCCGTGGCACTGAAAGGAGTCGTGAATGGTCGAGTTAAAGTCATGTACAGCCGAATAGCGGTCGGATAGAAGTCGTAAACATGCCCGATCAAAAATTTTAGTACGCTTGGTCGTGGAAATTTGGACAATTGGGATCATCGAGTTGATCTGATCGGCATTGTGAACCTAGCTTACGATAGTAACACGTTCTAGTTACGATCTTGTTTATACGCATCGCTCTCGGCGTCGCTATAGTGTCGTGACCGTATTATGACGTCGCCGTTTTCCAGTAGGACAACCGGATGTGCCTTTTTGTCCAAAATGTGATTCGGCGGCGCTCAGTAGTCCTACGCCGAAAATTGGACTATTTTGCGTCGGCCGACGTCAACTGAAAAATGGCGCGCTTTTGTAATTTTTTTTCATTCGCTTACGGCAAAGTACCGACGGTAAATACTGTTGATTGTAAGTATATCTATAAGAGAAAACTATATGAGTTTACATATTATTTTCATTTTAGAACATTAAAATAAAAGGAAATCTTATTTTTTTATATCTGAACATAGAATTTCGGATTTTGATTTTATGCACTGTAGAATTAAATAGCGATATTAAAAATGGGTACAAAAAAATACATATCCTTCGATTTTCTAAAAATTTTAACACCCTATTCTCGCTAGTTTTTGGCATCGAAATTCGTAAAGAACAGGGGTGTTCAAGCCAGGGCAAAAATTTGTACCCATTTTAAAGTAGGGGTCTCAATTTTTTATAGGTTTTTCCTTGCAAGGTCGATAGATTTAGAAATTTGAACAGTTTCTGTTTTTAAAGTAAATATTCATTCAACTGTCATGAAAAGGTGAATCCTTAGATATTTAACTCCTTTAAAAATAATAATATGTGTCCATAAATTGTAAAATTATAGATTTTTTTCGAAATTGAAGAAGGCGCCATTTTCGTCTATTTTTCTATTACGTCTATTGGTCTGCTATAATTAGATGTTTCTAAAAAAATCTCCGCCTCGATTTTTTTTATACTTTCATATAATAATCTTTGGTACATAATGTATATGTTATGAAAAAATTAGGCATTTCTATCGAGTAGAAATGGAGAACGGTCATCTTTATTTTGTATGTCCCCACTATGGGTGCGTGGTCCTCCCTTAACCTTGTTTCTGAAGTACACGATAGCTATTCTTCTCTCAAAAATAATTATCCACTAAAATTTATTGAAACATAACAAATATATTTTAAGACATCAATAAATTCTAACTGCTAAAGATTTTTTGAAGCAGAATTGCCGGAATCGACCTCAACCGATGTTGTGTCAGTATATAGACCAACGTTTTCAATTTCCGGCGCCGTAAATGTCAACGTAAATGTCATTAAAAGTTGGATTCTTTACTTCTTTGTAGCAATTTTGTTTATCTGAATGCAAAGGAAGTCATGCGATATGTTGAATTCATATCAACGTTATACCAAAACAGGCCGAGCTTTGTAAACTAAAACAGTTTTAGGCCTACATCATCATGGGATTGATTTTTTGATATCGTACTTCGTTGATCCATATTTATTTCGTGATTATTGTTAGTATGTTACCGGCCGATGAGTTTTTAATGCACATCTAACCTGAATAGGCCATAGAAAAGCTATCGTTTTTTTTTCATAAGTTTCCTTTCGTTAATACAGTTATCGTTATGTGTTTTGTTTTGTTTCTTTTTTGAAAAAAAGGGGGGTTCATTTTGTCAAAGGCATGTGTCATTTTATTGATTCTTAATTTCTGGTTTGCAGTGTTGGTTCAAACTCTTCATGACTTTGTTTTTTAAAAATTCAATGTGCAGTTTCTTAGGGCATTGGTATAACATGTATAATGACTATTAGACTAGTATTAATATATCTATGCATATGGGGAGGACCATTTGCTATTCTAGGTAGGTGGTGGGAAGGGAATCCTGGTCTGTTCGCACTAGTACTTGTTTGCTCTTGGTCCTTTTGCCCTGTTACCAATTCACCCTGTTCTTTCTTTTATTTTGTCTTGTTTAATCACGAACATATATATATTGACAGATGTACTGTTCCCAGGTTTAATGTAAATTAGTTGAATGAAGTATGTAAAAGTTGTTGACAATTTAGTGAATAAACTGTGTAAGCCATAACGTGCGATGTAGTAGGATTTTTTTCTGGATTGACTTTTTATTTGCAACCTTTGCTACACATGCTTTTCTTTCTAAATATATTTTCACTTTTGCATACTCACTGATGCAAAATATTCATTTTCAGCCTCTATTGTGTCATGTTATTTAGGGACCTTTTACTGTATATATGTAGCTTACTATGGGTTATTGGTTCTGCTCATTGATGAAGGCGGTCAGAGACCTATACATATATTTATTAACCTTTTCGTCATAAGGTATCTGGTGGAGAGTTGTCTCATTGGCAATCATACCCCAACTTCTTATTTTTATATTGGAACTGTAATCAAGTCTTAAGCAGGCAAACTGAAAGGGAACTGTAGTACCTTTAATAAATAACTACCGACAAAAAATCAATGAAATATTCAAAGGATACAATGAAGCTAGCCATATGAAATATTTTTTTTGTATGTTGTGCACCTCTTTTCTCATTTCAGTGGCAGGGGCTATGTTATATGGTTGGCTGTATCATAACTTGTGATAGGATATAGTTATGCAGTGTTGAATGTCGGTCCCGATGGGACACAGATCCTCACCCCAAATTGATCATAGGGATAAAATAATTAAATTATTTCACTCAATCTCAACAACAGGGCAAAAGTGAAGGAAATCAATCTAAGCATACTAGATTATTTAAGTATGTGATATGTGATAAATATTCAAAAGTGAGATTATTTGATCAATCTAGCCTTGTGATACAATTTCTTGAAAAAGTATTAAAGCAAAATTGAGTTCTTCTACAACATATGGGTAAATGTCTAATTTTCCATGAATAAAGTCCAATAATTCTGGAAAGGCAAAACATGAATTCGCCTTAAGCAAAGTGAGCTTTCTGTAAATTACACTCATACAAAATAAAAGGGAAACACTTGAGGCCAGAGGGAAGATATATTCGGTTGTCAAAAGTATAAAATAGAACATATGGAATCTTATTAAATATATAACAGTGATATTGTTTTGATAAAAAATTTCATGAAAACAACTGAGTCAATAATCTGAATTTTTTACTAAATATTGTAACATTTCACTTATGCACATTTTAATGTTGATGAGTCTCACATATTTAAAAATCCTCTTTTTTATACTACACTTTGGAGCCCATAGTCTGCTAAAGCTTCATTTATTTAATCCTGCATTAGTTCAACAAAAATGTCTGCTAATAATCACTTGAACCACCTGGGTTATTTGGTGGGGTTACCATTCTGTACATGAATATATCTCTCTTAATAAATTTCATATACATTTTGTAAATTGCTGATTCCAGGTATTAAATTTTTTATCCTCCAGTAAAATTATTCTTCGGACACCATGTGTTGTGTACTGAAAAAAAGAAAATATTTTGTTATTAAATTAAGTTTGTTAGTTCAATCAAAACGTAATGAAGAATGATAATTATAATATATTGTATTTCATTGTTATGGCCATCTATGACCCCAATACAGTCTGCTTAAGTCATTCTCTTATCTGAAATAAAATGCTCCGCTGGGCGCAGCTTGATACGACCGCAGAGGTCGAACCCTGAAAAGTTGGGGCAAGTATGGACACAACATTCAAGCTTGATACAGCTCTGAATTTGGATTGTGATTAAATATTTGACACAGCAAAGGTTTCTGACACAGAATGAATGTGGTCTAAAAACTTAAATTTTTTTAATTTACCTATTATGGTCCAATATCCAAAATCTAAATACATGGTTAGATTCAGCATATCAAAGAATCCAAAGAATTCAATTTTTGATGAAATCAAACAAAGTTTAATTTTGGACCCTTTTGACCTCAATGTGGATCAATTTGATAACGGGGCCCAAAAATTAAAATACATGGTTAGATTCAGCATATCAAAGAACCCCATATATTAAATTTTTGTTGAAATCAAACAAAGTTTAATTTTGGACCCCAATTTGGACCAACTTGAAAACTGGGCCCATAATCAAAAATCTAAACACCCATGTTTAGATTCAGCATATCAAAGAACCCCAAGAATTAAATTTTTGTTAAAATCAAACTAAGTTTAATTTTGGACCCTTTGGACCTTAATGTAGACCAATTTAAAAAACGGGACCCAAAATTAAAATTCTAAATACACGGTTAGATTTGCCATATCAAAGAACCCCAATAATTCAATTTTTGATGAAATCAAACAAAGTTTAATTTTGGACCCTTTTGACCTCAATATGGACCAATTTGATAGCTGGGCCCACAAACAAAAAATCTAAATACATGGTTAGATTCAGCATATCAAAGAACCCCATATATTCAATTTTTGTTAAAATCAAACTAAGTTTAATTTTTGACCCTTTGGACCTTAATGTAGACCAATTTAAAAAACGGGACCCAAAATTAAAAATCTGAAACACGATCAGATTCGGCATAACAGATAAATAAATGTGGTCAAAGATTTTACAAATCTAATGCGCCATACTGTGAAATTTTTCAACATTTGAAATTTGAAGAAAAAAAAAATATTTGAAGAATAATTCTTTTTATCTTCTGAAATCTGAAATGAGAAAAAATTGACCCCCCCCCCCCCCCCCCCCCCCCCTTTACCCCTAAAAAAATTCTTTCCCTCAAGATATGGTCATAATCTCAATTCAAATTTTCAATGGAATTTGCAACCATAATTACCCATTTAAATTTATCATAGTGCTAACTTAATCTATTTTATAATAGAATTTAAAATATGGTGTCAAATCTTTCATATGGATTTTTTGGTAAAAAAAAAAGATGCAACATTTGCAGATATTTTTACTGGTCTTCCTTTATAAATATGCATTTCTTTAAACATAATTTAAAAGCAGTGTAAGGGAAGTAATCAAAACGTTGTATTTGGATTACCTCCCTTACACTGTTTTAAATTGTCTTAATTGTTCATTAACCATTACTTTATACATAATTTAAAAGCAGTGTAAGGGAGGTAATTCAAATGATGTATTTGATTTATCTCCTTTACACTGCTTTAAATTATGTTTTGTACTAAAGTATTTGTCCATTAACCAGGACAACCTTGTTTTTCCCCCTTTTTTGCCCTTAATTCCTAAACGGTTTGAGCCATAACCCCCCAAGCAAATCCTAACCATCCCTTTGTGGTAAGGAAACATGTGGTATAATTTCAGAAAGATCCATACACCGTTCCACAAGTTATTGTCTGGAAACTAGAAAATGCTTATTTTTGGCCCCTTTTTGGCCCCTAATTCCTTAACTGTTGGTACCATCACCCCCAAAATCAATCCCAACCTTCCTTTTGTGGTATTTAACCTTATGGTAAAATTTCATAGAGATCCATTCACTTAAACTAAAGTTATAGTGCGAAAACCAATGTGTCTTCGGACTACGACGGAGACGCCAACATCATACATGTACCAATATACGACCGCAAATTTATAAAAATTGACAAATTCATTAAAACACTTCATTAGGATACAATGCACATCTTGTAAGAGTTACTTCCCATATATTGTTTTTAATCATTTAAATTAATTTTAAACAAGAAATGATTGTAACAGGATGCTGTTACGAAGTTTCCCAAACGAAGCTCCCATAATTCGTAATTCCCAGTGTCGCCTGACATTTGACAAAGTCCAGTAAAAATTGGTTTGGTCCAGTAAAGTTATATGCATTAGTGATGCCTGGGGACTAACCCTGTATATCATTCAAATCATCTTGGCATGACAAACCAGAATATATATGGTTTAGGGGTGGGGATCTCGACCATTTACAAGATACTAGAACATTGGGGGTGGGGGGAACCCCTGGGGACTGACCCTATACATCATTCAAATGTTCGAGACACGACGAACAGGAATATTTATGGTTTAGGGGTGGGGATCTCGACCATTTACAAGATATTAGAACATTGGGGGTGGGGGAACCCCTGGGGACTGACCGTACACGTCATTCAAATGTTCGAGACATGATGAACAGGAATATATATGGTTTAGGGGTGGGGATCTCGACCATTTACAAGATATTAGAACTTTCTCAAATGGCAGGGGGTCGGGATGACCCCTGGGGACTAACCCTGTATATCAAACCATCTTGGTATAACAAACCAGAATATATATGGTTTAGGGGTGGGGATCTTGACCACTTAAAAGATATTAGAACTTTCTTAAATAGCAGGGGGTGGGGGTGACCCCTGGGGACTAACCCTGTATATCATTTAAACCATCTTCGCATGACAAACCAGAATATATATGGTTTAGGGGTGGGGATCTTGACCACTTACAAGATATTAGAACTTTTTTTAATGGCAGGGGGTGGGGGTGACCCCTGGGACTAACCCTGTATTTCATTTGATGTGCTTTATCATGACAAACCAGAATATATATGATTTAGGGGTGGGGATCTCGACCACTTACAAGATATTAGAACTTTCTCAAATGGCAGGGGGTGGGGGTGACCCCTGGGGACTAACCCTGTATATCATTTGATGTGCTTTATCATGACAAACCAGAATATATATGGTTTAGGGGTGGGGATCTCGACCACTTACAAGATATTAGAACTTTCTCAAAATGGCAGGGGGTTCGGATGACCCCTGGGGACTAACCCTGTATATCATTCAAACCATCTTAGCATGACAAACCAGAATATATATATGGTTTAGGGGTGGGGATCTCGACCATTTACAAGATATTAGAACTTTCTCAAATGGCAGGGGGTCGGGATGACCCCTGGGGACTAACCCTGTATATCATTCAAACCATCATAGCATGACAAACCAGAATATATATGGTTTAGGGGTGGGGATCTTGACCACTTACAAGATATTAGAACTTTCTTAAATGGCAGGGGGTGGGGGTGACCCCTGGGGACTAACCCTGTATTTCATTTGATGTGCTTTATCATGACAAACCAGAATATATATGGTTTAGGGGAGGGGATCTCGACCACTTACAAGATATTAGAACTTTCTCAAATGGCAGGGGGTCGGGATGAACCCTGGGGACTAACCCTGTATATCATTCAAACCATCTTAGCATTTTTGCTCCTGTATCCATGGTAACATAGTAGTTCCAATGATTGTCAAAATCAATTAAAAACCTGTATATAATGGACAACTATATTGTATACAAATTTGATGATTTCAAGTTTAAGCATACCAAAATTATTCACCACACACTAAAGTTTTTGGAGCATTTTGACCTTTTTGCATTGTTTCCATGGTAACAGCAGCCATTTTGGAAATTCTAACTCCAAATGCCACATCTTCCAATGTTGCTCATCGTTACTGTGAAGTTTCTTTAAGTTTGGAGCATTTTGATTATTTTGCAATTTTTGGTGTAGTTTCCATGGCAACATAGTAGTTCCAATGATTGCCAAAATCATCCAACACCAGTATATAGTGGGCACCTACATTGTATTAAATTATAATGATTCTAAGTTTAAGCATATCCAAATAGTTCACCAAACCCTAAAACTGGATTTTTTCACATTTTTTCCGTTTCCATGGTAACGGCAGCCATTTTTTGTGTTCTTAAGACCTACTGCAACCCGAAATTTTGTGTTCCTCATTATAGTGAACTATCATTAAGATTGGTTCCATTGGCTCCAAAAAAACTGCCTGACAAAAATCATTGGAAGAATAATAATAATAACAAAGAAACAGAGGAAAAGCAATATGTCACCCGACATTGTCGATCGGGTGACATAACAAAGAAACAGAGGAAAAGCAATATGTCACCCGACATTGTCGATCGGGTGACATAATAATAATAATGACTTCATTTGGAAGACTTAATTACTGTACCCTTCATTCTTGAAATTAGGTTTTAAATTCAAAAGAAACAATATTGACATTTATACAGCATAGATATTAGAATAAAATCTTTAAACTATTAAAAGTATACCATTTGGCCTTAAAGCCTGAACGATTCCTTGGCCTATATCCTATAAATTTTAAGTTCCAGTCCCAATTTATTCCATTGGCAACTTTCATGTCTGACTGTTAAATGCAGAATATTTTCAGTCTGTTTCCTTATGAAAACAGTTTTAATACCATGTGTATTATGTTTTTGTTTCATATTTGGGGGATTGAAATCATAGCACATTGTCAATACCCCACTTTTGTAACCCTAAACAGACAATTTTGGATTACTTACCCTTAATATATTGCAGTCCTATTGTTTTCTGTTAACAAAAATAATTTTGCTTTCAACAATACTGGACATTCCATTTGATTACTGTTTTCTTGTTGTATGTACAGAATTTCATACATGTACAAGTATTTTTGTTTTAATAAAAAGGTCCTCTGTTTTGAATTATTGATCCATAGTGAACATCTTTCTCCATCCTGTAAATACATGAAATATAAAGCAAATTTACATACAATTACTATTAATGTATATATACATGTACTAAATTAAACAAAGCAAAATTAAACTTTGCATTGTTATTATCAACACATGAATACAAATTTGCCAAATAAATTAGCAAGAAAATACATGTACATCTATTTATTAAGTATTATAGATAATTATGCCCCCAGCATTTTTGCCCAATACAGTACATAAAGGTTTCAGACAAAGAAAACATTTCAAAAGTCTTGAAAAATAATTTTTAGGTTTAACAAGGAGCAAATTTATGTTATACCAAACCTTTTGATAACATTTTTATATTTAATAGTTTGCATAAACATCATAAGATTATAACATGTCCATTGTACAATGCAAGCTGAAATTTTATACATTTTGGGGCACTCACAACCCAGTTTTATTTTAATTTAAATCCTGGAACCTCCACTGTCATGACTGTATTGTCACTAAATTGACACCTTGAATTTGACAGTATTAATGAAGTTTCAGAAAGTAATATTGTTAATGGATTATCATTTCTAATTAGATTGTGTATATAATCATTGGAAGAATATAACATGTATAAAGAAATTGTAAATTAATTAGTTTCTGGGGATGCATGTATTATGCAAAGCAGCATGTGTACAAGCTTTTCAAATGGGTGGGTGATTGGTTAATTTCAATGTGTAAAATTCTTTTATAATTTCAGAGATATGATTTAGAGGATGGCTATCTTAATTAATTTTTTATGGGAAAGATCTGGTACATGTCCATGTAATCATGGTAATAACCGAACATAAAATAAACATTGCTCAAGAGTGCTGACACAGGATGAACATGAATATTCTGTCCAATAAAAAGGAAAGAACAATTGTGTACAGATTGAAAAAAAAAATAATAAGCCATAATAGATCATAATAGCAAAATAAGAAAATGAATATAATGTCCCCTTAAATTCCTCCTACCCACCCACCCACATAAAAATAAAAATTTTCGTACGAGTATGGATAGTGAACCCCCCATTGTCAGAAACAAGTGCTTGTGATTGATTTCCCTTTGTATTATATGTTAATGTAAAAATGAAAGTTTTTTTATATATTAAATTTTGGTGTATATGAAATGGGACGAATCTATTAATATTAGACCAGCTATAAAATAGCCAACAGTTGAAGTGAATATGTCTTACATTCTAATGATTTGCAGTGGCGGATCCAGAAATTTTAATAAGAGGGGGCCCACTAACTGCCTATGAGGGGGCCTACTAACTGCCTAAGAGGGGGCCCCACTCCAGTCATGCGTCAGTGATTCCCTATATAATCAACCAAATTTTTCCCACAAAAGGGGAGGCCCGGGCCCCCTGGCCCCAATTAAATCCGCCTCTGATTTGATAATGGACTTTTGAGTTGAATTTGAGACGGTCAGCAAAATTCATGTGTATTTGGGGGAGAAATTACCCCCCTTTTTAGAGAACTTACAGTCGGCATTACACGTGATCATCCGTGCTTTCAAATTTGATTAATTTTGGTCTGTATTTGCTGTTAGAGGTTTACAATGTTCTATTATCTGAGCACGAAGTGATAGCGTGAATATTTTTCAGTGAGATTGTGAAGAACACTTTGAACAGTTTGAAAACGGATGTTGACAACTTGTGTGGGTATAATATTCCCGGAGACAAGGACGGATACCTAAGACCGAAATCCGAATATAATTCACCAGTGGTTGGTGTAAATAGTGTATTCAATATATGAAAAGGAAATGATGAAAATTGGGTTTAATATAATTTTACACTTTATTTTTGCCGTTAAATCATTTTTTGGGATCCCACTTATTTGAAAATAATTAAGTCGGTATATCTGAAATAATCCTTTACCCTTTATGTTGTGTTGCATTAAGTTTTAACATCCAAGAATGTCATAAATACATCTTTACAGCGTGGAATGTCAAATCCAACGTCAAACAATGGCCGCCATTACGTGTTGACAACGTCGTCTAGTGAACCGTATCACTGAGCACCGAAATCAATACTCAGGCGCTTCCGGTTGTCCTACTGTTCGAGTCCGTCGTAAAGGTTGCTAATCTCTAAAATGGCGGCCCGCTCAAAGGGACGTTCACTAAAGCAAGAGAAAGCAAATGACTTAAAATTATTTAAGTGAAAAAAATGAAAATGCTACTCGAAACGGACAAAATGTATGGCAAAAAAAATTAGCCGAAAGTGGTCTTGATATGGGTCTTGATATGAATTACCTTACGATTGGGTTTAATTCAAATGAGTTATACTCTCTTTAAATAAAGATATTATTATTATTATTATTATTGAGTTAGTATTCACATACAATACCATTTATACAAGTAAATTTCTTAAAGGTTTATTAATTTCACCGAAAAATATTGTTAGAAATATCAACATTTTTTATTGATCTGGTCTTTATTATTTGTAGCGAAATCCGTCAGCTCAACTTTTTTTTGTAGAGGAGGGGGGGGGGGGGGGGGGGGGGGGGGGGGGGGGGGGGGGTGAATAAGAACAATGAGTTTCGATGTTCCTTTGGTGTCAAACGCCTCTCTCTCTCTATTTTTCTTTTTTTTTTGGGAAGGAGGGTATGGGGGGCACAAACACATGAACACGAGTGACTCGTAGAGTAATCATATTTGTTGAAATATCAAACGTTATTTAAGAATAACGCCAGTTAAACATCACTGTAAAAGAAGCATACAAAATTTTACATCGGTTGCTGGCTGTCGAAATCAAAGAAAATTTAGCACCGTATTATATAGTACATTATACTCAATCTTCCTTTAATGCTTTGTACAGGCTTACATAATTTGGGCACAAAAAAAATGATATTTTGTAGTATTTCTTCAAACTGTCAATTATAGCGAACTGTACGACCAGCAAGTTAAAAAATAAGGCAGCTAGACGTCAGAGCAATCTGGGAATATCAAACACTATGCCTAGTTATTTTTGTACTATTGATGACCGTACTGCCTACAACAACAACAAAAAATCCACACTGTATATTTGGCTTTACAAGTCTCCAACAAGAGAAATATTTAACACACACACATGTATTTATGTAGAGTAACATGTCTTTCAGTGTGCTAAACTGTAACCATCACATTAAGGTCCGTCTTGTGAAATAGTATTCATCTCATATAGAAAAAAATTTTGTGCTGATATTCATGTAATATTTGCCACTGAAAGTTTTGCAAAAATCAAGAAAAAAACGAAAACAAAAACAAAACAAAAACTAGTAGTTCAGATGTAGGTTCGTGTTCAGATTACTCAATGTGATCACTTGCATGTCAACAAACAGTGATATAGGTAGATTGTCAAATTCCGATCATGACTGTAAAGGACAACCATTTGTTTAATACAAATGTAGCTGATTTACTCTTGATACCTTGGTTTAAAAAAATAAGGCCAACATGATATAGCAGAGTGCTGAAAGTGGCACACACAATCAATCAGTTATTTTCAAATTACCTATCATTAATCAGTGTATAGGCTATACCATACTGAAACATAAATGTGATAGAAGTATATACAATTCAAGAAAGAGAGGTGCACTAACAGAAAATATATAGAAACTGCAATCTTTCTTTTAATTTCATCGGATCTCAAAATTTTAACTCTTACCAGAATTTATTCTATCTTACAGTAAAACTCGGAAGTTTCTAAGTGGAACTCGAGCTTTAACTAGAACTCTTACTCGAATTAACATTCGAACTAAAAATAAAACTGGAACTTTAACTCAAAATTTAGCTGGAACTCGAACTCTTATTCTACCTCAAAGGTTATCCACACTCTCATTTGTCATCTGATAAAAAAAAATCGTAAGGGTTCCACGGAACCCAGTGTCTCGCCTACTTTTGCTGTTAATCGCAGGCTCAACAAAAATGAGGAAAAAAATTAATAAAAATATTCCTCTCGATACTATCTTTTGATTGTAAGAAGCTTCTGTCCAAGTTTGGTATAAATCTAGGATAGTTTATGGATCTAATAAATGTTTTAAAAACTTTAACTGCATACTGTATGTAATGTTAACTGGAAGAAAAACTAAGTCCATTTATAAGTAAAATACGGATAAACAGGTACAAAATTTTGACAAAATTTCCTTTGAGATACAAGCTTTTGATCATAAACAAGCTTCTGTCCAAGTTTGGTACATATCCAGGATAGTTTAAGAAAGTTATTAAAATCTTAAAAACTTTAACTACAGAGTGAGTGTATTGTTTCCTGGCAGAAAAACTAAGTCAATTTATAAGTAAAATACGGAAAAAATAGATTTTTTTTAAAAATTTACTTCTGGATACTATCTTATGATCATAAACAAGCTTCTTACCAAGTTTGGTACAAATCCAGGATAGTTTAAGAAAGTTATTAAATATTTAAAAACTCTAACCACAGAGTAAATGTATTGTTTCCTGACAGAAAAATTAAGTAAAATATGGAAAAACCGGAATTTTATTTTTACAAAATTTACTTCTGGATACTATCTTATGATCATAAAGAAGCTTCTGTCCAAGTTTGGTAGAAATCCAGGACGACGACGCCGGCAACGGAATGTAGGATCGCTATGTCTCGGATTTTCAGGCTCGACAAAATTCTAGACTTAGATAAAATATATCAACATGTCCACAGAAATACGGATAGATGTAACAGAACAAGAAAAAAAAACTAGATCCGTTTATTACAAATTAAAAGATTTTTTTATTTACATCAACTGGGAATGTTCCTGATATCAATATGGCGATGTGTATTTTATTGTCAATTAACTCTAAATTATCAGATGCATTGTATTTCCCATAACATACCAAAGTTAAGCGATTAATCGAACGGTAATAAAATATACGTAATACACAAAGTTTTAATACACAGGCGATGAACATTGAACATATTATGTACAATAAATATGAAACGATGTATGAAAAATGGGTACGGGATGATAGAACTCAGAAAAAAATTTTGGTTTCCACAGTTCGAATAAATTATGAAGCGTTGAGTAATTACGGAAATGTTAACCAATTTTAAATTCTTACCGAAAATAGGTTTCTTTTAACGTGCTGAGTTTGTGGCATTTTTAACACGGCATTTCAGGTTTTATCTTCCCGGTGCGAATGGACAAGCTAGTGAAATTATGGTAACGAAATTATTCTGCCTGCAGTCTAAAAGGAACGTGTTAATTTTTAGCCCGGATACCCTGAGTCTTCCGAGGTAGAAGATTCTTTATCTGGAAGCCGAAAATTATGTCTATAATACGGCATGAGGCAAATATTCGTTTTCCCCATACAACAAATGCAATTAAAAAAATGAGATGACTTCAACTTTGACAATTACTTTATAATAAACTGTTATTATATCTATGTTTAACGATTCGATAGATTGATAAAAATATCAATGAATAATCAAAATACCTTAAAAAATGTTCAAAAATGATATTAACACATTATATTTTCAACTTGCATTATGCTTTCAATTTGCAGTGGCAGAATTAAATGTTGAAATAGCGTTTTGAGTTATTGAAAATTGCAATGTAGATATGGATTCGCATTGTTTCTAGATTTCTAGCAGATACTTCCATAACGTATTGAGTTTGCATACACTTGCAATTCATCATATAACGTAATAAATTGACATACATTTGCAATTCTCACATATACTCATATAACGTTATGAGTAGGCATGTATTCATATAACATTATAAGGAGACATATATTCATATAACGTTATGAGTTGACATACAATTTTCATTTAGATATGTATTCACATAACGTTAGGAGTTACTATAGATATGTATTCATATAACATTATAAGTAGACATGTATTCATATAACGTTATGAGTTGACATACATTTCCAATTGACATATGTATTCGTATAAGTTATAACTTTATGAGTTGACAAACATTTCCAATTGAGATATGTATTCACATAACGTTTTGAATTTATAATATATATGTATTCACATAACGTTACGAGTTGACATACATTTCCAATTTGGATATGTATTCATACAATGTTATAAGTTGACATACATTTACAATTAAGCCATGTATTCATATAACGTTATGAGTTGACATACATTTGCAATTTATATGTGTATTCAAATAGCGTTATGAGTTGCCAATTACTTGCAATTTCATATATGTATTCACTAAACGTTAAGAGCTGACATACTGTTTGATAAAAGATACGAATTGTCTTCCCGTTACGAGTTCTATGCTTTTACAGCATCATTCGTCCTGGATCATACCACAGCTTACATTATATTCATATAACATTATGCGATAACATAATGATGTGTTGTACACACAAAGTTTAAAATTCCTAGATCTATATTTCAAAAAAGCATGATGAATCTCAATATTATATACTGTAACCTAAATTGAAGGCTAATAACATTATTTGATAACTCATTTTGACAGGAATGCACAGAAGCGAATCGAGACTTTCCAAACCTTTTTTCAGCATTATCGAAGTTGGCATAACAATAAAGAGGTTAACATAGTTTTATGAAGATCATTAGAAAATAAAGTGAATTCTAAGGTTTCTTTAAATTTCTTTGCTGATTCAAATGAAATTGCCCATGACAGCGGATTGGTGCATGGACAGACCACTAAATTACTCCACTTCATTAAGCAAGGGTAAATGAATCATTATTTTGAGCTGATTTTTATGTGGTGTTGACGGTGTCCAATACATCCCTAGTTGTCCAACGTGAAGTGTATTAAAAAGTTGGGCTTGGCCAACAAGTGCTTTTTAAAATAAAATGCTCTGTAGGGCGCAGCTTGATACGACAGCAGAGGTCTAACCATGAACAGACGATGCAAGTATGAAAAAAACATTCACGCTTGATACAGTTCTGAATGAGGAT